ATATATATATATATATATATATATATATATATATATATTTAAAATTTTATTGATCTTTTTTAATATATGATTGTCAATTTTCGTCAAAAATTCTTACTTTTCAACTAATATAAACTTGTCAGAAATATTTCATCAATATCCGTCATAAATATAAGTTTTTTGACAAATTTGTGTCCATGAAAAATTATCGACAGATATATCCGTCCAAAATATAAATTTTTCAACAGATTTATATCCGTCGATAATATAACTTTTCCTGCGTTTTTTTTTGTTAATAAAATCCATTGAAAATATAAATTTTCCGACGAATTTATATCCGTCGAAAATTTTTATTTTTCTTGTAGTGTTCATATTTACATGATATTTCTGCTTCAACTTCTTGTAACATTGATATTGATCCTATTGCCTCTAGGACAGGCCAGTGGCATGACTTTCTCTGGTGTTGTATCTTGAAGGAAGAATAGTTACTTATCTTTCAAAGGGATGCTAAAATTGGTTGGCCTAAAAAGAAGGTTTGTTGAAAAGATAGCCAGAGATTAATCTTTTCTCATCATATTGTATCAATTTCTTTTTCTTCTTTATGGATGCTTTGTGAAATCTAATTCTAATCTGATGCTAAATCTTGGTTCCTTCATCGCAAGTATGATGCTCTTTTATTTTCACCCATGTGTCATGATAACTGTTCATTTTCTTTGGTTGAGTTTTTTTTCTTTCTCCAAATGTTATGAGAAAGAGATCAAATGAAATTATTTTATTGATCATGAGGGTTTTATATGTGGTAGATTCTTCATAACAATTTTCTTGGAATTTGGTTTTTAATTTGGCTGACTGTTGTTTTTTTTTTTCCCTCATATTGGTGAGTGATATTATTCAAATGGTCCTTCAAAGCTTGCATATCCTCCTTTAGATCTTTATTGTGTTTGGGGCACGACGGTTGATGAAAGCACTATATGATAAAGGTCAAACAAAGAAGATGAAAATATTATCGGTAGAAAATCGTAAAATTTTTCATTTCTTTTTCAAGGTTCCATATAGAGAAAATATATACTTATTAACCCTAGAAAGTATGGAGTGTAAGCTCATTAATGTACGAAGGCTTTATGGAATTACAAAAGAAATAGGTTCATGAAATACACCTCATTTTTATTTTTTTATTTTTTATAAGTACATCTCCTATCTTTTTTTATTTAAAAAAAATTAAAATATTTTTATTCTTTTTTTTTCTTCGAATTTTTTCATTTTAAACTTTGAACATTTTAATTTAGTACTTTCATAATAATGAAATCAGTATTCTAGAAAGTATTTTTTTGGAATTGTGTTTTTTTTATGTACTTTTGAATAATACTTTCTAGACTACTAAATTTTTTGTTTTGAAAATAACTTTTCAAAAATTATGTAAAACAACACATTTCCGGAAAGTACTTTCCCCAAAAAGTACTTTCCAAAATACTTTCTAGAAATATGTTAAGAAAACACAATTCTCAAAAATACTTTTCAGAACACTAACTTCACTATTTTGAAATTTACTTTCTATAACACTAAAATAATTTATAACTTTGAGGTTGTATGTGTACTTTTTAGATGTGTAAAATAGAATAAATACTCTAAGAAAAAACACACATTTGATTCGACACTTTCAATTGTTAAGGAAGCACATGTGCCTATAATATTGTCGACCATTAATCCTACGTCTGAGTGTATGTAAAAACTAAAGAGGGAAGGGGAGAGTAATAATGTGTAAACTAAAAGGAGACGAGGAAGAAAGTAATATAAAAATTAAAAGATTTAAAACCACCTATTGAAATAGGTGGAGAGTAGGGGAAGATAAGAATATATGTAAAAAAAAATGAGAAAGTGCTAAATTAAATGTTAAAATATAAAATAAAAAAAATAAAAATAAATAAAAAGATTAAGAATATTTTCAAAATTTATTTTTTAAAACAAGAAAATATATTTATTAAAAAAATAAAGAGATGTGTATATCACAAGCCAAGAAATAATCACAAAACACAATGCGATGATTTGGTCTTTTGGGCCAAATTCTTAATATAAATAATCTTTGAGCCAAGCTTATGTTCCAAATGAGTAACGCTTTTCCGTTTGGGCTTGTATCATTTACTTAGTTTTATATAAACTAAAATATAATCTTTTAAATTATATTAACGTACCCATATTCTAAATTTTAAGAAAATCATATATTTCGTATTCGTATTCGTATCCTTGAGCAAAGCATTGGACATGAACTATTTTTTAAAACCTTTGTCCTCTTATTTATACTGAAAGAAACGGCCAAGGTCCTTAAATTTGTAAAGATATTCGCATGTGTTCAATAACTAATGACTACAAGATATTGCCACGTATCTTTATGGTAGTCATGTATAAAAAGTTGATGTAAAAACTTTTTTTGTTTTAACTGTTTTCAACTGCTTCGAAGTAACCAATGAACTTTTGAAGTCGATGTATTTTGTTCTCAAGCAAAATTTTTCATCTGATTCCGAACCTTCATTTTTTTTTATATTCTCAATTGCAAAAAGACACTTCCATTTCAATTTTCATCGAGTATTCACTAGGCATTCAATCATATCCTTAATTTTATTCTATTTCGGAAAAAGGATTCAATATAAGGTTCAATATAACGAATCAATCTATTTTTCACTTTGACGAAGAATTGATTAAATATTATCTACAAAGGTTTCAAAGTGCCTCCAACGGTAACCAAATGTATTAGATGAGACATTTGTTTTGTGTACTAAACTAATTTTAGCTTGTGTGATGGTTGCTCGTGACAATGGGATTTGGCACAAATTGTCATTTCAAAAAAGGAACCTCCCAAAGGAGTTCTTGTACGTACAAGTTGGAACTCTTAGAATAGTCTAGAATTGTCCTTCCAAGAGGGCACTAAGAAACAAGTCAACAAAATAAAAGGCAAAGTAATTTAGAAAGAAGTGCACATGAGAATGATGAACAAATGGTTTTTAAAATATGAAAAAGAATGATGGGTTTTGTTGGACATCACCAAGGCAAGATAATCAGCAGCCCTTTCTAAGTTGATGGATAACAGAGCTCTACTTTATAAACTAAAAGATAATATCCACTTTCTTTTGTAGAAAAACATAATGCATTAAATTGATCAAAATGTGGAAGCATGGTTTTCAATAAATTTCAACAAACATTTGTGGACAAAGCGTAATGATTACCCCCTCATATATATCCCCTATATCTTCTTAACCTGCATGTAATGAAATAATGATCATGAGCACCATCATCTCCTCAAAATCAAATGATATTCATTTAATAATGTATTGGAATCACAACTTTAGGAAAAATGATTACCAGCTGCTTTTTTGCAAATGGAGAGGAGTACAACTAGAACGGCAAGACCTGCAAACACTCCCACAATAATGGCAACCGATTTCCCCACTTGGTCATTGTTGGAAGAATCTGCACAAAACACCAAGTTCATGTAAAGCTATAACAACTACTCCATTAGCATACTATTTTGCACGAGATTTAAATACATTTAATTGAATTAAAAATATACTACCAAACTAATTAAGAGAAAAGACAAAATTCAAAAGGGATTTGAATTTTCACTTAATTGACAGTATATATATATGCACAACAAACAACTATAAATTTCAAAAATTATAATAAAATTGACTGCAAGCTTTTACTGATTTTTGAAGCATATAATGGAAGCAAATTAGTGTAGGAATTTAAAGAATAATATATAACTTTTAGTTTGTTGGGAGATAAAAATGTTTTTCAGATTCCATGCTATCTTCTTTGCAATGAGTTGCAGCTTTATGCCAAATCAAGAGACACTACTTGAAATAACCAATGGAATGGTGTGGTTCACTAGCGAATTGATAAGTAAAGAATATAGAATATGATACCAAGTAAAAGGGACTCAAACAAAAGGACAAAGAGGAATGGCATAAAGTGGGTATTTTCCGAAATAAAGTATAAAAGCATATGTTCTGAATGCTTTTCGTCATAAAATGTTATTGACCATTGCATTCCACAATTTATTAGTACCTCTGCTTCCTTTCTACCTTCATTTTCTGATCGCTTTTCTACAAAGGGCTGATATAATATATAACTGTAAGTAATTCAAATCATATTCAAAACAATTTCAACTTTTTCTGCTTTTCCTGCTCCTCTCTCCTAAGAATTAGAATGGTATAGTTATTATTACAAAATTTTTATAAGGGTGCTCATTTTCAAAATTGTTTTAAGACTAGCAATAAATAATTAGCGGCAACATTTTGTAGTAGAAAGGACATGGAGGGTAGAAGAATTATTGTAGTGTTACTAAAAAAGAATAATGAAAATGAAAGATAATGCTATATACGCACAAAACTTAGACAACATAATTTTTGTGTCTATCTTTCTCTAAATGAAGTGATGGAGAGAGATAGATGCAAAAATGATGTTCTACAAGTTTTGTTCTACATGTAACATTACTTAAAATGAAATGCACCTGATTCATCATAATAGCCAGAGGCCCAGTACCGAGCATAACATTGACCCAAGAACACATCAGCTGCTGCTGCTGAACCACATAAGCTTTTCAGCTTTCCAACTGCATCTGCTAAACAAGAGGAGCAATCTGATACACTTATATCCCCCAAGCATTGTGCAAACCCTTGAACAAGGCCTGAACTACTGACTCTAAATCCATTAGCTGTTTGCAAATCAGCAAGAACATCGTCCCTTCGCCGGAAGAATTCAACATCGCTAGTCACAGCCTTACTACATTTCTTGTACCTAAGACTGGTGTCAAGTTTGCCAAGGAAGTCACCACTATGTTCATATCTCACAAGGCAGCCTTCAAGTTGCAAAGAAGCCCCAAGGGCATTGGGACAAACCAAGCCTATTTGGTTAACAGATCTTCCTACACACTTTGAGCAATCAAATGGATGCAAATCACCTCTGCACTGGTATAAGCCGTATATGGTTCCCTCTGGTGGTGTTGAGCTTCCATTTCCAATAGCAAAGCTATTATATGTTACCTCAGATGATGAACTGACAACTGAAGACATAAAGCTGTTAAGGTTGCCTTCAAAGGGTGAGTTGGGTTGGTATTTCTCTTGAGAGCAGACTGCATATATGAAGATATGAGCTCTTGAAGGGTATCCATGAGCACTCAGAACACAAGAAAAGAAAATTAGCAGATAAGAGAGCCTCCAAGCTAAGACGATTCTGTAACTGGAGTTTACTTGAGGACTTCTCAACATTTTTTTCTTTTGCTTGTTTCTTCACATACAAATATGAACCTTCCTTTGCTTCTGTTTTTGTACCTTGGTTATGGCAATTAAAGAGTGAGATACTGGTTCTTTTTTTGGGCCTGTTGAATGAAGCCTTTTTCTTTAGTTAAAGACTTTTGTTTGGTTAGGCATAGAGCATCAACTTTGTCCTCGGATTAAAGTCAATATATCCATGTACACACAAAACAACAGAAATTCTCATTTGTTTCATGTCTTCAAATGACCCAAAAATTACAGTAATTTGAAGGCTGAAATCCAATATTTTGGGGTTGAATTAAAAAAATCTGGTTTTACAATACAATAGCAGATTGAAAAGCTCACAATCAGATGAAGTTTGTTGTCGAACTGTCAAATGTTATGTTTTAATACTTATCCAATATTCATATTGCTTTAAGAAAAAAACTATATATTCTTAATCCTCTGACGGAATGGCACATATACCTCTAGAAGCAATGGAATATAACTATTATTTCGTTTCTGGAGACCAAATTCCATAAAACATAGCTAAGTTCACCTTTACTAATGACAAAAAAAGAACATAATCACATGCCTCTCGATCCTTTTTCAATAACTCATCCCTACTTAAACGGAAAAATAATGAATTGTAATGAGAGAACTTAAGGAATTATATATACAATACCTTAAACTCGAGGTTCTTCAAGTCAAACTTGAGGAGCATTTTTCAAGTCAAACTTGAGGTTCTCCTCGGTACTCATTGTACCCAATATATAAATAGATCGATGTTGTAGAATAATAAGGCTATTAGTGCAATCTCCTTCCCTTTCAATTTTCTTGTCCTTGACAATCTTCTTTTGCCATGACCATGGCAATACATAAGTAATTTGCTCCTGGTGCAAGTCAAAGAGATCACAACAGCAAATTTCATTATATGGTTAGATTTTTAATTTAGGAAGTGGGATGGAAATGGAAAAATAAATCAATGTCTTACAATAAAGGGAATAATACATAACGGACATATAAATGATAATGATTGATAATGAATATTGCCATCCACTAATTAAGCCACTAATTATTATTCATAACACTCCCCCTTGGATGTCCAATATTTAGAATGTGCCTCGTTAAAACCTTATTAGGAAAAACCCT